TTTGTCTAAATAATAATATAACTATGGAAACATGTTTTCAACTAATTATTGGTATAGTTTTTAGGAAAATATTGACAACATTTGTTCTAATCAAATGTGATTTCTTTTTCAGATAAAAATTAATGAATTAGTGTTTCTCCATGAGACTGAATCATGAAAAAAAGGTTTTTGAATTAAAATTAAAGTACAACATTTTTATATATATATTTTTTTTACAATTTAACTACAATTTCAACGTATTTTTATCTAACTAATCACTAATATAACAAATAAAAGAAAGTCTATAAGTACATCCAGGTTCGGATATCATCCAGTGCAGACTTAACGTTGCGCACAAGTTACCCTATGTAACAACATCACAAATTGAATGGAGTAAAAATAGAACATTGCGACAATCTTCTTCATATTGAGACGACCAAAAAAAAAAAAATTGGTGCATTTGTCATGCAGCCTATTAGCATTCTGCTTCATTTCCATCAATCGCAGTGAAACCTTCTCCGCCTTTCAACGTGCGAGTGATCAGCGCAGACGGATTCTACAACATCACGTGGGACCTCGACAATGACAACAACGATTGTCTGACATACAGCCTTCGCATCCGAACCAGCCGAGGTCTCTTGCAGGTAAAACGATTTATTTTATTGATTTATTTTTTAAACTGGTGCCACTCAGAGTGCGGTCGCGGCTCGCGGGCCATCAATTGCCCGACCCTTGTTTCTAGAAAACAATATGAGTGAACAGTCACGATCCCATTTTTGATGTTTTCACTTTTTCCTTGGTCAGGATCCAACGCGTTCCTTCTCAGTGGACGAGAGGTTCCTCGTGGTGGGGCACAAGGAGCTACCGCCTCGTGCCAAATGTAGCGCGGTTGTCCGGGCCAAGTTGTGCCCCAGTAACCCGTCTCAGGGCCCGTGGAGCGAGTGGAGTCCCAAAGTCAGCTGGACAAACGCGGCGACGACATCTGCAGACGTTGCAGGTAAGCAGGTCGCCATTTTATTCATTGGCAAGCAGGCAGATCATCATTTACGTTGTGCGATGTCATTCATATCTCATACAGAGAAGCGATTCCATTCCAGCACGAAGCAATGTGTCTGGCTGACTTTCTGCTAATCATTCTGTTGCGATTTGCAACGTGGCCAAGGAAGATAAGGAAGTGGGTATTGAGAGGCAGAATTCATAGAAAAGAGTCATGATTAACTTCTGACAATTAGCAGCCGGTGAAGAGTGTCCGATTGTGTTCCTTTCAACCCTCCCTGTCTTTTTTTTTCTGTTATTTTTAATACTGGAACCAAGACGAGAAATGTTGAAGGCACTGTAACATGATGCACAATTTGAATATTGAATTGAGTGATTTTGTTGTCTAGAGGGAGCCTGAGTACTACACGGAGAATCACTGAACTCAGGTATCGGAATGCTTTCACGTGTGGGCAAGGAGAGCCCAGTCGCTTCGGCACTGCTGGCCATTTATTGAACGGGACAAGGAGTTAAACGCACAAAGAGAAAATAAGAACACATGCAAGGAGCTGCTGTAGACCACAAGCAATGCCCAGATGCTCACGCGCTTATGGCCAAGTTAGGCCAACTTGGCCACGCCCCTTCAAGGCACAATTACAACACTACAATTGTTGCTGCTTTGACTTTCAGCTTGTCCCGATGTACAACAAGCATGCTGAACAAAAGTAGTTTGTTTCTAACATCAGACATGACTGATGATTTTCTCCTGTGCCTTAGTGAAAGGATTCTGGCTGTACATCCTCCTGGCCATCATCATCCTCCTTGCCGGGCTACTGCTGGCTTGCTCTCGAAAGCCGTGAGTAACAAAACAAACCAAGGGATTTTTTTTTTTTGTTTTTGAGTCTCTCCAATTGACTTGATTTCAGACACAGTCCAAAAACAAGACAACAAAGTGAAAGCCAATTTGGACAAAGCATGAATCATTGTCGCCGCCGCCGTCGCCGCCGCCAACTCACTTCCCGTACTCGGCGGATGATGATGATATTTGTTCTCACTGCTTGGCCTTCACCCTTTCCTGGCAGCACCTTCTGCATTGCGAGAAACCACACGCGCGCGCACGACCTCGGCACTCATATAATGAGCAGGCTGAACTTGACAGGAAGTCACGCGTCGCCCTGCTGCAAATGCAACACCCAAGTTATTTATATAGCACTTGAGAATATAACCACGACTCAAACAAGCAGAAATAAAAACAAACTTTTTATTCATTTGATGGAATAATTGTTTAATTCATTATATTTAAGTTAACTATAAGTCATACAAATTTGAAAAATAGTGAATTATTCTATTGAACGAGTTTACATATTTGACATACATTTTAAATTTCCATTTAACTTTGTAAATAATTGGTTAAAGGACCCCAGGAATGATGCAAACAATGGCACTTACTTTATCGTTCCCTTTGACGGTATTCAGCAGTTTTTACAGCGCCGACTTTTTACGCCCAGAAGGCATGAAACTGATGATGTGGACGCCGGGACGAGACGAGCCAAATGCTAATATTTACTGATTTGCCGGGTTTCATTTTGCCATGAAAATCCAAGAATCAAGCGAAGCAAAACAAATGGGATGGACCAAGGAAAAGCGTGTCATTTACAGCCCGTTTAAAAATCAAATGTGCCACTTGACCACAGGTTTGCCAAGTCCTTCTCGAGTTATTGCATACATTAGTCACTGCATTAGGTACACCTACTTGGTAGACATTGATGCGTGTTTTTGATTCTTCCCAGGTTCTTACTGAAAAGATTTCAACTGAGCATGTACGTGTCCAGGCCACAGGACTTCTTCAAGCCGCTCTATCTCGACCACGGAGGCAACTTCAAGGTAAGGGTGTAGTTGTCATTGGTGGCCAACAGACGGCGTTACACCACAGGGAACTTGTTACACCTGCTGACTGCTTGGGAATTTCCCTCACAGTCACACTGAGGGGCCCGCCAAAGTGCTGTCAATATTTTTGGGTTTTTTTTTTTTGGTTTTTTTTATTATGCAAGGGGCTTGCAATATTTTTTGGGTAATGATGAGTTGTGTGTCGATGTTTGTGTTCCAGCTCCCTGGAAAAATTACCAAGGGGGGTTGATGCAAATGTTGTCGCTTTAATGTTTACCCCCAAAATGTACTAAAATTATTTATGATGTGTGTTTTTGCTTCAGTCACAAACAATATTCAAGTTGAAAAGGCTTTGTGTATCTGTGACCATATCGGGCTCACCTGGACAATGTAATATGGAGGCCGTATCAAAGACGTTTGCAATACAAGCCCAAAGGCACTTTGACCTCAATTTCAGTGACAGCACAGAGCGGTGCTGGATTAAAAAAAAAAAAAAAAAAAAAAAAAACCCCCCCCCCCCCCCCACGAGATGGATGAAAACAAATGGACTATCTGATCATTCTAATTCCATGAACCCAATAATATGAATCACATACCACGTTTCGACGAGTGGAGATACATGGAATTGCATAGAAAATACGTTCAACATCTCTTTCTTTGATGATGGTGGCTTTCAGCTTTGATGTGGTATCGTTCGAGGCTTAATACATGAAATGTCCCCTTTGCATTCTGCTGATATCCATCTCAGGAGTGGGTGAGGCCGAAGTTCAGCGAGCACGACTTGTTGGGGAACACCTCGCACGTGGAAATGGCGACTGCCACCTTGAAACAGCTCCACTGCCACATACCCAACCCAGAAGGGGAAGACGTAGTGCGACCTGCGGGGTGCCTCCTCCTTGTCCCCGCCCCGCTGGCACAATTGGGACACGTGTCCATTCACACAGTGATTGTGAGCGAAGAGGACGAGCAGCAAGTGCCTGGTCCGAACTTCAGAGAGCTGCTGGACTCTGATCGAGAGGAGCGAGAAGTGGACAGGCAAGATGAAGAGCGGCTATTCAACGATTGGCCGGAAGAAGTGGAGAGAGCCTCGCTGGCCTCCAGCCGACAGTCGGACGACGGATACCCCCGCGTGGACTTGGACACGGTGGATAGCGGTTTCGGGGAGTGCACCAGCCCGTCCCACTCCAGTTCGGGAGAGCCCGCCGGGGTTTTCCTACCCGACCCGCAAAGCTCACGTTCCAATTACGTCAAGCAGTGGATGATGTGTGGTGATGCCGGCGAAGACTTGAGAGACGTTCTACATTGAACGGTCCACCAGTTTTACTTGTTTTCAACTTTTTTATGTACACCAGAATACACAGTATGTTATTCATGGTTGAAAAGAACTTCATCTCACTGATTGCATTTTAGACATTACTTTTCCATTGTATTTTGGTTGAAATGAGGATACCCTTTTTGGATCTAATTTTTCCTTTTCCATCCAAACAATAGGCCTGATCTCACTGATTATCCAGATTTATTTTGTTTTGTCCATTCAATAAAAGGGCCAATGACACGTCATTTTTTAATATCTTTATACCCCCCCCATCTTCAATCCAAACATCATTATGTTTCTTGTATTTATTTTTTCATTTTAAACAAATTATCAGATTACCTTGCTCGTTTTTTTCCCATAAATATTTTTTATTTCCTCTCTTTAATCAAAATCCCACCGTGCCTTTTATATATTATTTGCATTTGCTTTTATTTTGCACTTTTGATCTGGTTAGCATCGAGAAAGAGAATCCGCGCTCATTGGCCTTGTCTGTTTTTTTTTTTTGTTCCTTATAACAAAAATGTTTGTTTCATGTGTTTTATATTGTCCTTTTAATGAAAAATCCAGGATCTTTTGATCTAGTAATGTATTTTGTGCCTTTATATGTATATATGTGTGTGTGTGTTTGTGTGTGTGTATGTGTGTGTGTGTGTGTGTGTGTGTGTGTGTGTGTTTATATATAGTTTATGTCGTCCCTTTAATAAATAAATAAAAACTAATTATTTGAAATGTCTTTTTTATTTATTTACCTTAAAAGACCACGATACATCATTGCTTTGTGTTATTTTTATGTTTTCCCTGAAATGATCCCAGCCATCGTCACCATTGTTGACGTTCTTCTCGTGCTGTCACCACTCATCCGGGCCACTGGTTGGCGCTGTGCAACCGACAGTCGATCAAGTGTCAACAAGACAACAGGCGGTGGCAGGAGGCAAGCGAATGTGGACGAAAAGGTCGCGTTTTAAAACAAGTGCACGTCTCTTTTCTTCACTTGTCAAGCCTTGATATTCTTCCGTCGATGGCAAGCGTCGATTTGTGACTCTTAGCGCGGGCGTCCATTCTGTCCGCAAGTTAGCATCCTCGTCTTAGTCGTTAGCTTCTAGCGCCTGGCCCAAAACAAACCCCGCCCCCCCAAACACAAAACAAAACCCACGATGAATTTGTCACAGGACGCCAGACTACGACCGGAGGAGGCTCTGGTGGTGGAGAACGCCATCCGACTGGCTATCGACTCGGTGGTCAATGTGCTGTACGGCGTCAACAGCGGCCGTAGTCGCGAGTACCAGCGGATGGTGGCCGACAGGGACAAAGAGATTGCGAGGCTCCAGCGGGAGGTGCACGCGTTGCGCCGACGGGGATGTGCTTCGTGCAGGGTGCTCGACCGGAGTACCCCCGACCGGTCCCCGGACTCCGGGGAACACAGGGACGACGGCGGCGGCGGTAATGACGCCGGTCAGCAACAGCAACAGTGTGAACTCAGTTTCTCCTGTACGTAAGTTGACAGTATGTTCATCTATCTAAATGTCTGTCTGTTCGTGCATATCACCATGTAGTAGGGCTGCACAGCTAATAAAATCTGGACCGCAATTTGGGCTGCCACAATTGATGTAATATGAGCCTTAAAATGTATATGATATGCCGCATAACCAAAAGTGAGTCAACCACCAAGCCAACCGAAAGGGGGCGTATGCGTGGATAAGTTTTTTTGTTTTTTTTAATTTGCCTAAATAACAAGGGAGTGCATCTTGCAGCGATCGCCCAGTCATTCAGCGGACAAATAAATTGTAGGCATGTCCATAGAAGAAAGCACAGCGAATGTTGGAGATGTGGAGCAAGTGCCTTGAATGGGCTCAACATTTGGAGCATTTTCAGAGCATTTTGCACTGAAAACCCTTATGTTGTTTGGTGAAAATTATCCATCCATCAATTATCTGAAACGTTTACCCTCATGAGGTTCACGGGCGTGCTGGGGCATATCTGAGCTGTAATTGGGCAGTAGGTGGGGTACACACTGAACTGGTTGCCTGCTATCGCACGGCACACTTACACGAACAACCATTCACACTGACAATCACACATATGGACAATTTAGAGTGATCAATTAACCTGCCATGCATGTTTTTGGAATGTGAGCGGAAACCGGAGTACGCAGAGAAAACCCACACAGGCACAGGGAGAATATACAAACTCCACCTCTTAAAGCCGGTGGCCGGATTCGAACCCACGTTCTCTGCACTGCGAGGTGGATGTGTGTGACTGAGTGAGATTGTGTAACTTGACGTCTGCTGTATTTTTCATCCACAGCGGGTCTCTTTGACAAACCTCCACCCAACATCCCCTCCTTGGCACTCCCCTCTCCCCCCCACAGGCAAGCGGATCCAGCTGGCACTTTGGAGGCGGGCAGCGTCACCGTCAAAGAGGAGCTGTGCAATGTGGATGCCATCCTCGTCAAATGGGAGCTGACCGAGGAGAGGTTGCGGGAGCAGCCGGAGCAAACCGCCAGTTCTTGTTGGGACGCAGGTGACGCCCGCCTCGTGATTGTTATTTTGCGGATTAAAGTGAACCCACTGCTACACACGAAGGATCGGATCTGAGCCTGACCATGAAAAATTGACGGCCCCCTCGAAATGGGGTCTGTAATTGCAATAGATGCCACATGATGGCAGCAAAGAATTTAACTCAACTCAACTTTTCACAGCACGTAAAACAACTGATCCTGCATTCAAAGTGCTGTCCATGGAGCAGAAATTACTCAGACAATAAGAGTTGAAACAAAAAATGAATAATAAAAAAGTGTAAACACCACAACAGAATCTATTTTATTCCATTTTTTTCCTTTCAAAACAATCTACATTCACATGAGACTCACAAACAGTGTGAGCTTGAATTATGCGAACTCCAAAAATGATGGGTGTCACTGAATATAGTCGACTAAAAGTCAGGAGTGTTTCGCGACAAGGGAGTCTGTGAATGAGCACACCATTCATTCATCATTCCCTTCTCCTTAATCACAATTTTGAGATTTTTGATTTTTGTGCAATATAGATGATTGATTTTATTCAGCGATTTGAGCTACTTAGGCTGATTTCCTTCTTTTGTGTGTGTGTGTGTGTTTTTTAAGAATTGCAGCTCAGAGAAGTCATGACCTGCGACGAAGCAGACGAACTGGCACATGTGGCAGAAGCAGAGCAACAGAGGTTAAAATCTACAATCATTGCAGTGTAAAAGGAAAAAAAACCCTACCTGTACAATCCGGTGCTTTCACGGCCTGTGTCGATGCCGTTGTTTTCCATAAACGTCGCCAACACGAAATCAGAGGTAGCATCAGAGTGGAAACAGAAGCCTGTCACTCCCAGTAGAGATTCACCATCAAATGAACTCGTAAAACAATTGAGAATCAAACATTGTGTATTTTAACACCAAATATTTGACCCATAGTAGGAACATCTTGAATGAAGAGAAATTAAAAATGTAGCTAGTTTTTAATGAGAGAAAAGAAGCAAATGCCAGATGTACACTGGTGCCTCAAATGTGCCAACTTTGCACCATCTTCTGTCAAAGAGGTTTGAGACATGCCTCATTTGTCAACATGGGTAACTTTTCGAAACACGAAAGTCATTCACGAATCGGCAAAACAAATCAAACTTACCCGTGCAAAGTCAAGAAGAAACAGCGGCAGCGTGGCAGGGCGACAGACATTACTAATCGATCACTCGTGTCGTTCGTTCATCGTCCTCAGGAACAAGAAAAAACGAGTCCCCACGGCGGAACTGCCCGAGGAGGCCCAGCAGCAGAAGCGTGCCGCCTGGCGAGCCGCCTCCCGACGCTACTACGCCCGCAAGGTGGCCCGACAGCAGGCCGGCCCCCCGTCACGCCCCGCCCAATTACACCATGTGCCGCCCAGCTCCCAATACCCCGCCTCGCCCTGCGGCCCTTTGGCCACCGCTAACAGGAAGCGGGCGCCCATTTCCGCTTTGCCTCAAGACTCGCAGGCGCAGCAGAGGGAGGCGTGGCGAGCATCCTCCAGGAGGTACTACGCCAGGAAAATGGCACAACAGCACCACCAGAACGGACCCCCGGAGTACCGCCACGCCGAGCCGCCGGAGGACGACAGAGGAGGACTTGAGGGAATTTTGTGTAGTTGATGATAAACACTAAGGCTGTCCTGGAAATCGGTCACTCATTCTCCTTCCATGCCACCCGTCCACAACCACTGGGGGGATTACTTATTTATTTATTTATTTATTTATTAAAGTTGTAGCATTTGTGTCCCAATCAGAAATACCTGTCAATCCATGAAATATTCACTCTATCAAATCAGCTTCTGCCATTGAAATGAATGAAAAATCCCATTAATTCATTCCCCAAAACAAAACATTTGTACTTTTTTTAAATAGGAGAATAGCACTCTATTATATTATACTTTATAAAATAAAGTATTAACACGATTAACCAGAAGGAGAAGATAAACAAATTGCCCATTATGATTAATTCATTTCAACTCCCTCTGGTGTGCGCAATTTGGCCACCTGGGGGCAGTATAACACAAAGACAACTTTCATAACTGCCAAAATTAAAGAAACGGTTAAAATGTTTTTTTTTTTTTGAGCGAACATAATTATATTTAGCATACTATTTTTTCCCCTTTTCACCAGTTTTCTCAATGACACCTTCGGGCATTTTGAATAAAAACCTTTCCAATGATTCTCTTTTTCCTCACTTTCATTTCATACATTAGCTGAGGTAACCTCTTGGATAGTCATTCCCAGCACAGCCTGAGATCATTGACTACGGACACACGAAAGGCATTTCAATGTTCTTCCGAGTCTTGCTTCCCTTTTCAAATGGAGGCATTGCAGTGCGCCCATCGTCCATTATCTGTAACTGCATCAGGAGCTCGACATCTTTGTTTTGATGGCATTTTTCACAATCCGGAACCCTTATAGCTTAAAAAAATGAAGGTTAAGATGCTGGTGATAAACTCCGTGTATAGTCAAATGGAATTCCGTACTCAGATCCTCCCAACTGAGAAGCAGGCGTGCAAACCACTCGTCCATCATGTTGACCTGCAGTATTTGGAAAAGCCATCAGTCCATTTTCTGCACTTGTCTTTATCGTATTAAAAGGCTTTTCATTTAAAATGTTTTCTATTATTTTGTTGTTTCTGGACCAGGTGCACATATTTCAAGCTATTTAAAAAATACCAAAAGACGACTTTTCTTTTTACATATACTCATTTATTCAAGTGTTATTTGCAGACCAAAGGGCGTCACATTTGCTCGAACGCTGCATGCAGACACAAGAAAAAATTTATAACCCCCCCCCCCTCTCCCCATCAAAATGTGCTAAAATGACGTAGTTTCCCCTCTCTGGCGGAAAATAAAATATTATACGCCAGTTTATCAGTCAGACAGGCAAATGGATGGATGGATAGGACCGACTGAGCGATTGATGGATGAATGGAGGGTTCACCCACAGTTTTAAACCCGCTAGTACAGACGCAAATTGTGTTTACTCATCACCGCAACGCGAGACTTGAGTGTGCGGGGCTTCCAGACTAAAACAAAAGTACACCGCACACTTCTTCACCCTGGGCTTAATTTAAGAGGATGTTAAATGTGAGGCGTGCAGTCACGCAAAAGACAGCTGAGCTAATGTTGCCCAACTGCCTGCAGTTGGCGAGTATGGTGCACACTTGCAATTGGATCCGCTCGACAGCTGCTCCACGGAACAGGCGCACTTCTTTTTGTCAGAGCGCAGTCGCAGCAGGAGGAAGTGGGATGCAGGGGGGCTTTATTTTAGATCTGAATCCCACCTCTCAGGTCTGAACACGCAAATACGAGGCGAGTTCTGAGCCCCCCACCCCCCGCATCATTTTGTAGCAGGTACGACACCATAATTTGCGCCTGTGTGAAGGCGGCGCATCTTATTTGCATGCACAAGAGGAGGCGAGGGGCGTTTGTTTTGGGGCAAAACAGCTTCAACCACCTTTGAACACTTCACTTGCAGGATTGACGAGTTTGGTTACTGGCGCTTTTGCACCACGAGATTTATGGAACGCCTTTTTGACGAGCGTGTGCCGAACAAAGAAAGAAAGAAGAAGGCGAAGGAGCAGATGGCGACCTGCGCGCGCAGCCACTGGCTCGCTAGGCGCGTTAAAGGGCTCAACTGTGTCACATTATTCGCCTGTGGAGCGGCGAAATGCTTCGCAAGCAGCACTAATAGTTTTTTCCACGTTTGTTTAACCATTTGGAAGACTGAAAGGCGCTCAATCGAGCATGTTTCAACTTCCAGTGGCGTGTGCGCCTCTTCGGTGCGCTAGGTGGCGGGCTGTGCGGTAAAATTGACACAATATTCATTGTTTTTCCAGCGGAACTCACGTTTTTACGGCAAAACTTTTATGCTTATGGTGTTTTTAGAATATGTTTTTGATTTTTTTCGTTTTGTACTCAACTGGAGCCAACTGAAAATTCCCATTGGCATCAGGGCGCACCTGTGCACCTTTCGTGAAGTTTCGTCTGTTTTCTCAACTCTGTGGACTTTTATTGGCTTGGAAGTCATCGCCAAGCAGTCTTGAAATGCTAAAGTGTCTCTTGGACTTATAAATATCGTGAATGGAGTGTTTGTTAGTGTCTGAAAGATGCCGCGGGGGTTGGCAAATAGCTCAGCGTGTCGGTTTTGGAGTTCGGTTGCGCACAGACTGACAACGAGTTTTGGTTGGGGCTTTTTAAATGCGGAATGGACTCTAATATGTTCCAAAAAAAGGGGGGACAACTGTTTGTGTGAAGGAGTGCTTTTAATATTTCAAGCATTTTTTGTAGAGTTTTCAAGTGGCACTTGGAATAAACAGCTTTAATTTGGTTCAAATTACCATTTTGTGCGTTTGGTGGCATATATAGCCTCTTAAATGATGGTTTATGTCAACATTTTCACCCCTACACGTCGAACGTACATGGACGTGTCCATTTTGCAGGGATTGCTGGGAAGAAGAAGGAGTCAGTCGAGGTTGGGCCGTCGGACAGGCGCACCAAGGTGGAAGCCATTCACTAAAAGGTAAGAAATAAACAGACCTTTCGTGGCCAATGGTGGCCAATATTGCTTGGGATGCAAGGTGGTAAAGTGTAGTACGCGTTGAGCCCAAGAAGGACCAGTTTTAGGGGTTAATTTGGCATGTCTGCAGCATTTTCAAGCGGCCCGGACCACGGCTGTGCGTTAAGAGGCAAACATGGAGGCGCGGCTAGAGGGAGCCAAAGCAGGCAGGAAGGAGATTGAGCCTGCTTGTGGGCCTCCAAAGCGGATGTTTGACCCTATCGAAATCTCCACAAACACTTAAAAAGCCCGGAAGACCTTTCATTGTTGTATTTTAGCCTCCGTCGTCGTAGTTATTTGAAGTTGATGAGCCTCAAGGGTGTGTGCTTCTTTGGCTTCAACTGCCTCACTGGCACTCCATTTTTATCCAGACGCACAGCAAACTGGACGCATAAATGTTCAAGTTTAAGAAAAATATCACTTGAAGTATAAATCATGAATTTTAATGGTGGAATTTGAGTGATGTATTCATTTTTAATTAGCATTAGCTTGTTGCTATGCCTAGTTAGACAGCGTTCAAGATGGCTGTCGAGCTGGCAACAAGTGACGTCAGTAGGCAGCTCACTTCCTTGTTTGGTTTTGAGACAAAAGTCAACTGCAAAGACAATTTCCTGTGTTTTCACTGTAAATATGTCAATATATACGTTTTGGAAATAATTAAATGCACACGAAAGTCAGTGAAGTCTTATGCATCCTTCCTAGAGGTTATGGTGAACAACACTCACCTGCTAGTACACTAATCTTTCAAGTCAATTAAAGGGTGACATTTTTTGACAATTGATTTAACCAGAATGCCAGAATTCTACACAAAAGACTACTGATTTCATCAAAAACGACATCGGAAGCTCTCTGGCTGTGTTTCAAAACCTATTGAACGAATGCCATTTTGAGTATGTAGCACCTCTTTTTAAATGATGGCAATCTTGAATTCTGCTACCATTGGTTGTGTCTGACTTTTTATTAAAAGGTAACTACTAAACGGCTGCCATTTTGAGTTCGCCAAAACTTGTGCATTGAAAATCGTGGCCAGTTTGTACTCTTCTCACCTCCTGGAATTCTGATCACCTCGTTTGTGTTTAACACCACAAATCTTCCTTTGCATCATATCCTCATAATTGGCGGCCGTCTTGAGTTGCATCACTGGACTTCATCATGATCTGTGTAAACAAGAAAACAATTACTTTCATGCCACTATTAAAATTTACGTCTAAAGGCAAGATAACAGATTTTAAAAAGTCACAAAAACGACAATTTTCTCAATTGAGTGACTCCATTTTGTGCCGTTTAAATGGCTAATTTGGTCACCGATGGCTGAAGCCTGTGTTTTCAGTCCACTGGTCGTGGTGCTGAAATCAGGAGTGAGGGTTGACACTTTTGCTCCCCTCTAGTGGTGGTGTGCGGTGACACATGCAGAACATAAACACGCCCTGCAGGCTTCGGACACGTATTCGAGCGTTTCAAGCTGTTCATGGGGTATTCATGAAGAGGTTGCGCAAGAAACGCGGCTCCCAGTTCCGTCACAGAAAGGCTCTGTCCTCCTTTTGTTTGGCTCGGCCCACAAGGAGCTATCGCGTCAGCCCAAAGACGTGCGCTTGCGGCAGCCTGGTGCTGAAAAGAAAACAGCCGCAGCGAAACAGGAGAGACTTGTGCTTAACTCTTTCCTCACCGGAAAACAAAAATGTCTCTGCATTGTGTTTCACTCAATTTGTGCTTTTTATATTAATGGGGCTTTTGTGTGTGTTGCTGCAGGACGGTGCCTGAAGACGTTTTTGTTCCAGTGGGAGCTTGAGGAAAGGAGGAGAAGCAAAAAAAAAAAAATAAGCGTGTAAGGAATTGTGCTATCGGAGAATCCTCCGTGAAAGTGCGTGTGAAATCTTTCTGACACCGCAGAGACGATCGGTTAGCCATGCTCAGCTAACGTCAGCGAATTTGTGTTGCATTTGAGCTGCTTGTCTATCAGCTGCAGTGACAAATGTTGCCATAACAAACAACATGCCGTCCAATGTATATTTTGATTGTCTATGTGGTCCCTCCTAGCCTGCTGCCCCCGCAGTCACAATGGAAGAGGAGATCGTGGAGGAGCACACCAAGCTGAAGCAGGGCATGGTGAAGGTGCTGCAGTGCGTGGCCACCATCTCGTCGGCGGCGGCCGTGGTCAACCCCATCTTCGGCGTGGCGGGCTCGCTGATGCGCGTGGTTCTGCACCACATCGACGACGAGGACATCCGCACGCTCAAGCGCGAGTTCGGCTCGGTCAACCGGGCGCTGGACGAGCTCTCGCGCAAGAACCGCCAGGCACTGGTGGCCATCCAGAAGGAGACGCTGGACAGCCAGTACGCCTCGGTGGAGGAGAACCTCAAGAACCAGTTCCGCAAGTTCATGGAGCTTGTGGAGGCCCGGCCTGAGCACAGCGAGCGCAAGAAGGAAGACTTCACCCGCAGCTACGCCGACGACCTGGGCGACCAGAACCTGCACACGCTCTATGACGGCGTGGTGGGGAAACCCAAACTCTTCAGTCGGCCTATCCTGGAGGTGAGTCGCGGACCACGCTGACGGGGCTGGGGAGGGGGGTGGGGGGCATTCTGGACCGGTTGGCCATCATTTCCATTACTTGTCTAATGCCGTTATAGTGTTGAATAGCTGACTCATAAAAAAAGTATGCGAAAACTTCGATTACAGTGATTCAAAAATGAATCCAGCATTCCAAACATCAATTTGTCCAGCATGTACACAATCATGAACTCATGTGACATAAGAGTTTGAATGAAGTCGTTTTATCTCTTAACAGAATCAAGCACCTGCACGTGGGGCTCGTCAATAGTTAGCTGATTCCGAAACTTGGCATAATTCTATTTGAAAAAGTATTTTGGCACGCTTTCACCATTTTGCAGTTTTTCACTTAGTGTGGGCGGGTCTGGAGCATAAACCTGAGTGATATGGCAACATTATTTTACGTGGTTTTCAAACTGCCGTCTGTCCTGAAAACTAAAGAAACTATATTATTCAACACATGAAGAAAAAAAATTAACATTGGAAAATATTACAACACTTAACAGTACAAACTTGGGAAACTAAAAAAACACAATGGGGGGGTGGGGTGGAATATACTATTGAGTTTTCAGGTGCTGCAATGTCTAACTCTGACCAGCAGAGGCCAGCATGTCCTGCCTTTCTTTAAGTTGTGTTTGTTGTTGTTGTCTTGAGGTGTTCCTGAAACACTCGGGCGGCGATCGTCGGACCATGGAGCGCTTGTGCACGCGCCTCACCTACTTGTTCTGCATCGGCCTGATCGCGCTGATGGGCTACGCCGCCGTCATCGGAGACGACGACGCCGGCCTGAGCGAGGAGTGGGCCGAAAAGATGGAGAACGTGCAGGACAAGATGCAGCACGCGCTGCGCATGTGCCGCTGAATCGGGTACACACGCATCGTCATCGTTAACTTCAACGGCAGCGGTGGGCAAAGACACGTACGCTACTTCTACCTTACCGACAGTGCGGCCCAGCCAACATTTATATTATCAAGCGTCCTTATATTGCTCTTTTTTTCTTTCCTTGAATTGGTTGTTGGGACTTTTTCTTTAATTAATTCAATAGCTAGCAGATTGGTTTATTGTAAGTAATAAGAGATGGGCAAAAATGATACTTATTCTATACATAATTTTTTTCAAATTAGTTTTTTTTTAATCATTGACTGCCCGACATTTTACGAGCACTTTGACTGATCTTTCGAGGTTAGGTTCTGCCACCTTATAAGTACCAAACCAGAAAGTTGACTCATATCAGGAAAAAAAAGCAAGATTTTCTGTTCTTTAATAACTAGCAGTGGAACGCGCTGATTCCAAGTGCACAGAAAAGCTTTGTGTGAACGCAAACATGTCAACAGAACAGTGACTTTGAAGGCGTTGTGACACCTCAAACTAAAAAAAGCGACTGAGAAAGGGCTTTTGATGAAATAACGCCAAAGAAACACAGTAAGCAATGCTGTCTCAACACGTGGCCGGAGTTGAATGTCGGCAACCTTTTTTCACTCCATGAACTGCGTCATCAAACACAGACGCTGTTGGGAGTGTCAGGTGCCTAAACTCCTTGTCCGAGCTGGCCACCTAATCTTTCTCTTCTAATTAAAAGCTGTGCTGATCTCCAATCCAAAGCGGTGCAAGACCGCCACCTACTGGCCTTTAGTTCATCAATACGGCCACGTACGTGCGTTATTTGATAGACGGGCTAGGCCAGACCCTCCACCACGCCTGTCTGTTGAGAAATGGACCACGAATATATTTGTCGGTGGTGGTAGTCATCGACAAATGCAAGCGTCCATAGCAGCCATTGAGTTCATGAAATAAAAGAAACGGTTCAGATAACATCTGACAGATCACCCCGTCTTTAATCCGAGCTATCCCATGTATCCATTTGAAACGGCCATTCAGCCCTTCCGCGCTTGAGTTTGCCCACCGCTGTTTAGACAAGACCGCTGGGACCACTCTTTAGTTTTGATCAACTTTGTAAGGTGACCTGGAGTGCTCCGGAAGGCGCCTGTCGATTAAATGTTGTTGCATTATTAAGTCTTGGACCACCCACCCACTGAACGTCTTCATGTTCGTTGTTACAAGTTAGGACGCATGCCAAGCCGATAGATGTCACGGACGACATCGTCCAACAATCCCCGGTTTATCTCAATCCCAACCGACTGGTGAGATGTTCTGAAAAATCAGCGAGACCAAAAAACAAAAAGATTTCGTAGGATGAATGTTATGCAATGATGCGCACTGAGCGCATACCTGAACACTAAAAGTGGTTACACTCGTTTTTATGACACTAGATGAGAATGCCACTTGAGTTCCACCAACACTACTTTTGAAGCACTTCTTTCCACATGTTCTGCAGAACGACTTTAAAAAACGGGCATCGAAGTTCATGCCGAGTAGGTCACTTTGTGTTGTACGGGCACTTTATCCCATAAGTAAAGGAACAGCCTCTTTTTTTTTGTTTGTTTGCTTGCAGCCAGTGGTGCCTCAATGATTATATTGTTGTTTGTTTGTTTTTTTACACTATTTTACGAGACATCCTTTTACATGTGTTTTAAACATAATTATGCGGTATAAAAAGAAAGCGACTAAAGTGTGTATACTTGTCTGATGTAGGCCATTTGATTGTATCGGGCTACTGTTCTGTTTTTGTTATGGCTGCACGTTTTGAGCACCACTACAAATAAATATGAGTCCATGCATCCGTGATTTTGGGAGTCATTTCATTTTCCCGCCTGGCTGCTCTCCGGTCTTACTGGACATTTGATTCGGGACACCTGCAGTCCTAACAAAGACGTAGATGCTCAGTTGGAATCGGAATGACAGTTTTGTCCTGCACCGCCCTTTGCTGTCTGCTAGAATTGACGTGAACGTGCCCTTCAGCCCAGGGTGTCAATTGCAGTTGACAACAATGCGTGCTAATGGGCAAAATGTCAGTCGCCTTTGGTGGCTGATTTCATCTGCTTAATTCTTATTGCACCAACACCATATGAATTTAAATGGTGTGTTCCGACTATTGGGGTCACTTCAAACAGATTGTTGCCAAGAAAATGTTTGCATTTAGTTCCCCTTGAAAGAGCGAGGACAGTATGAGGTGAAGACACCAAGATCTCCATCTTCCCCAAAGTACTAATGAATTCATTTCAGAATGCAAAACGGTATGTGATCATGATTGTGTATTTGATGTTATTTTAGAAATGATAAGATGTTACGAGCTAGCAAGTGTTTAGAGCTAACAAGCTCATGGCCAGCTAGAGATGCTAGCGGAAATGCAACCCTTGTGTGGCGTAATGGGAAGCGATCCTTATTTCCCAAATTAGCTTTCTCGTTCAGCTGTGATTTAGTTGTGAAGTTTTTGTCTTAAAAACATTTCCAACTGGTAAAAATGGGCTCTCGTTCAATAGTACAGACGTACGTAATAACATGGTGGCTGTATACGCTACATAAAACGACAAAAAAAAGTTAAAAAAGGAATGTATGTACAGTCTATCTCTATAATGTGTTAAATCTACCCTGCGACTGACTGGCCACCATGCCAGCAGGGGGCAGTGTGCCTTTCGTCTAAATTGAATTTGGGGCAAGGTCCAGCACCCAGCGACCCGAAACAAAATAGCGAAAGACATTTTAAATGAAATTTACCATTCAGTACAAAAATAGAGGCCTACTTAAATATAGAACATATCCCTGTAGTCGGGCGGGAAACCTGGCCTCTCCAAAAGCATCGCTTTGGAGAAGCCGCAAAAATTGCCATTTTTGTTAAAAAATTAACATATTGCATCATTTAAGACATTACATTGGTCGAATCATTTTGGAAGAAAAAAACGTATGCACGTTTGGACCGAAAATAATCCAAGAAGAACATGGGGGTGTAGTTTCTCAATATGTCCGCCAGATGACGTTGTTCTTTCCACCTGTTTCCACGTAGGCAACTGTCCATCACAGAAACATCCAATAACATTCCCTTTTTATTTGCTGTATACTGTATTCCATATATATGTCACCATCCAAATTGAACACTGCGGTAGTTATTTTAAAAATTAAGAATGCATAGTGAGTGCTGAAGCCCCTTAAATAGAACCAGATGAGCTGGTTCCAAACGTGCGCAATTTACTCATCTACAACATCGAGAAAAAAATGCTGATTTGACCCGCACAATTCTGCTGCTCATCCCTGCAAGAGATCAGGGGAGTCACATGAAAAACACCCCCCCCCAAAAAAAAAGAAAAACAAACAAAAAATAGATAATCAGTTGACTGACGTGCTCACTTGGGCTGTGGCGTCTGTCTGGCAGCATTTGCGTCAGCATCATGATTTATTTTTGGTGCAGGTTAGTGGTGGTGGGTGGGTGATCGTTTGTCTTTTTTTTTTTTCCCATGGAGCAACATTTGCGCTATCACCTGCATATCTACTACTTGGTACAAATAACACCGTCTAATAATTAGACTCTAACTCAATGTTGGAAATGCAACATTTTAGCCACAGAAATTCAGTGCGCAAAAAAAAAAAAAAAAAGATCCCATCAACGCCTGATTAGTGGACAGCATACACACGTTTGCTTGTTTGTGAATGGCTTTAAAATCAATACACACTTGATTATTCGTTTTTTTTAACACAAGCGTAGTCATCACGAGGTTTTGTTCTTACCTTCAATGGCGTGCGTGATGTTGAACATCCCCAAGAGGCTCCTCAAAGTGGACCCCCCCCCTCAAAAAAAAAGCTAAAAAAATAACAAAAGAATCATAGACATTAAAATCCATCTTGGTGGAGACGAAAAACCACGGCAAGATCTTGTCACGTCGCGCACAGATCTCTCACTCTCCGAACACCCTCTTCCCTCATCCCTCCATTGCGTCTCACTCCTTTTCTTCTCTCTCTCTTCTTTGGGACCCCTCCCCATGCAGCTTTCCTCACAAGCAGCACACTGGGAATCTTCCACTCAGGAACTTGTCCGACGTGAAAAAGAATTAAAAGAAGAAGAGGTAAGAATGTGCTGATTTTGTTGTTGTTTTTTTTAATCTGGATTGGAGATGAGAAAAATGCACGCAAAGTGAGGTGACGTCAGGTGGGGGCCACTTGTGCTAAAAACACGCATCCACGGCGTAGGTCCGGGTTTTGTTTTTATTAATCACTTTTACTGACCAGAATTGGATTATTTTTGATGATTTATGGAGGTTAAGGAGTCCCCGTCTCCACCCGGCCTTGGATGCTCGCATTCAGTCAAGGACGCACACACACATACACACAGCCTCCATTTTGTGTGTATGACATCACTACCTCCAGTGTTGTATTTTATTTATGATTTTTTTATTTATGAAAACATCACCAGCTCTGAAGCTGGCCACATCCAATATCATGTAAATGTGTCGACGACTTCGGTGGTTGAAACTGGATAATAATCAGTGGTAGACTGTAACTGAGTACTTGTTTACTGTATTTAAAGTCCCCGTAAAGTGAAAATGTTTTGTCGGTTTGAGCCAGAACAGGGAAGAGTTTTGTTAACCTGCCATATTTGAATGATTTTTTTTAAAAAATGCCATATGAATGAGGTTTGAAAATGGTGAAAAATGGTTGTAACCGTACCTCGCCCCCCCCAAAAAATCATGCAAAAGACTCCTTCAAATTTACTAGGTAGTACCAATATCAGTTCATAACTCTAATTTGTCTTTGCTCCTTTTAATTTGGGGTGTAATTCCACTGTTGAGGACTAGATGGCGTTACTTTGGCACAAAATTTGGATGAAGAAGGAAAATGGGAAGTACTTTCAGTTTCGCCTAGTTTTTGATGAAGATTATTGAATATCAACCTTCTGTCATCCTGCTTTTTATGCCTACAGAAAGCAATGGCTTTTGGTTCAATTTATAATGTACATCTTTTGGGATTGAGTGATGATTCTTAAAGTATATTGTGACATTGTTGATTGATTGAAGTGTTGTAAATTCCACTTATTGCCTGGGGGGGTTGTTGGAACGTCACCCACACAATGGAGGTGGGCCGTGCGGGGGTGGGGGGTGTTATTGTATCTTTTTCTTTACTTTGTCAAAATAGGCACATTACAATTTTTAAACCTAATCGTATGATGACCCAACGTTAAGAACTACAACAACAAAAACCTACAGTAAAATGGGTTAAGGCAACTCTGATTGGCTGAGAGATAAGTGACTTTTAGAATCGACAGTGGCTGCTTATGGAATCTTGTTGCCGGCATAAATAATGGATGCAGAGAGTGGAACAACAATGTCAGACGCTCTCTCTCCTGCTGTACTCATTTTTTTTTTTCTCATTGTTGTTTCTTCGGCCTCGTGGAGCTCGGCTCAGCCGGTCTGACGACAGCGTTGTCACGACAACGGCTGATAGCTACCAACTATGTTGATTAAAAGAAATAAGGGACAAGGACCGAGATTTTGCTCATGCAGAGTACACGTCGGGATGTACAGTCAATCACAAATTCCCGGGAATTTTTTTTTTTTTAAATGATCGTTGTACCCCTCCTAAATGTATTAAAACGCGCTAAGGCTTTGAAAACTAGATCTTTGTAAAGTGTTCCTTAGTGCCTGTTCTGACTTTCTTACTGTCAAGAAACGGGAGCATATCGTATAACATCACATGAATGACATGAAACGCAAAGACGACTCAAGTTGCACAGATCCTCAGCTTTACAGGGGACCTTCTATCACGCTGCTTCTTTTCTGATAATTACGCTGCGCATCTTCCACGAAAGCTAAGTGCTGCCAGGCATGTTGTTGCGCAAACTGGTACTACGCTGAAGGCAGCAGACTTGCCTGTGCACTGTATAAATCCGGTGACAAACAATCATCGCTTGCAAATATGTACTTGAGAATTGTCCTGTCTTATAGACCATGAGTAATCCCGTGGAGAAGATTTTGGCTGAGAAGAAGGAGGCCATCGAGGCAGCTATGGACATGTTGGAGCGCGGCGCCGAGGTTGTGGCCAGCGCGGTCGGGGAGCTCTTCCCGCTGTGCCAGGCCGCCGCTCCGGTTCTGCGTCTGGCCTTGGACAACGTCCACAGCAAGGAGGTCTTCTACGTCAAGGAGCAGTTCCTGACCGTCCGCAACAGTCTGGACCTTCTTTCAGGCCAGCTGGAGGACATCGATTGCGAGATCAAGAAGGCCCGGCTGGACTCGCAGTACTTTGCCGTGGAGGAGAACCTCCGCAATCAATTCAGGAAGTACATGGACATTATCGAGGCCAAACCGCAGTTTCGGGAGGTCAAGACCAAGTTATTCCTGGAGCATTTTTCCAGGAGTGGTGGCGAGAAGAATTTATTTGTGCTCTATCACGCACTCATGGGTAACAGCAGCTTTGGAGAGTCCATTCTGGACGTGGTGGAAAGGTAAACTCAGTATCGGGTGTCAATCAGGCCGATATCAGCTCTACTAAAATCGGCTAAAGGACAAGTTATTGTAATACAGTCAAATGTTCTGACTTTAATTGATATTTCCATTGTTGTGAGGGACCAACAAACTTGTTATTTGATGTGATATTGTTTGAGCTAATCAGCCGATTAATCAGTTACTAGTTTTACATTTTAAATAACTGGTATAGTGCTGTGGTCTGTTGGTTACGTTTACAATTTGCGGGTTAGCATTCATGTTTTAAGATTATTTACCCAGAGGTTTAGTGTTAGGCACCGCAAGCAAGTACGATTAAACTGCCATGGGATTCTGCAATTTGTATTCACGCAACCTATTCAGCAAAACTAGCGGCCGACCGTCAGCCGCTAGCTTTGCTGAATTTGTTGCAGCCATTTTGAATTCAACTACAAGTTAGGATTGGGGAGTGACGGTTTTAGAGTTTAGAGAGAGGACTTTTTCGGGTTAGTATTACAGGTTAGGGTCAGGAGTTACAATTGGTTTGGGTTGACCAGATGTCAACATTTGATTTCGGCTTTCAGGTTAGGGGCGGGGTTTAGAGTTCGTAAGGGTACGTACGTTCGGATGTGTTTGGGGTTTGAATAAAGTTGGAGTTCAGGGTTAGGGTGCCAATCTAAAACTGCTGACATTGTAAGAAGACAGGCTTAAAAGGTGCTGCTCGTGTGATGTGTCGTCAGGTATGTCTCCAGGAACCGTCGCCTTCTGGAGGACTTTTGCGTGCGCATGAAGGAGCTTCTCTGCTTAGGCCTCATTGCTCTGATGGGACACACGGCCTTGACCCAAAACCACCAGGAGGAAGAGGATAAAATCCAAGAGTGGAGCCGCAAGATGGACGAGATCGAACTCCGGATGAAGACCACCATCCAATCCTGCGTGGACGCATTTCCAGAGCAGGCCAAACTGGACGCCCAGCACTTCCTCCAGGAGAAGCAAAGCGACAACCTTCAGGAGACCACCCAGCAGCTCTTGGACTTCCTGGTCAAGAAGTACGACTGGGTGAGTTGGTCGGTGCGCCTCATCAACCACTCGGGGAGCACCTACCGCAACTGGAGGGCCGGGGAGCGCTTCCACCACGTGGTGGGGCGCAACTGGTTCGAGGTTCTGCAGGTCAACAACATCAACCTGGTGGTGTCGTTCAGCACCGGGCCCCAGACAGTGCCCAGGGATGCCATCCTGGAGATGATGGAGGGCGCCGCTCGCAAGGGCAACGCCCCCACGGTGGTGGACGTCCTGGAGAAACAGATGAGCGGGTTCGTGGTTCACGCCGTCAGCCGCCACAAGGAGTCAGCGGCGGCCTGGAGTTTCCCAGAAGATTGTCACTACTGGGAGAGGCACAAGAACGTTGCTGTGTGCGTACACGCTGATTGAAACTCGAAAACATTCCAAAGTGGGATTAAATCTCAGACCTTAACTGTCTAAATTATAACCATGACCATTGACGAAAATACCCTAGCCCAGCGGTCCCCAACCCTCGAGCCACGGACCGCAACAGGTCCCTGGGTCATTTAGTACCGGGCCGCACAGAAAGATTAAATAATTTACATTACTTCCGTTTTATTCATTTCGGAATGTGAAAGATGTTTTATTTTGAAAAATTACCGGATTCTCTGTTACATCCATCTACAGTATGTCACTCTTGACTCAGGTAAAGGCGAGCATCTCGGTCACGTGATATGTTACCGCTAAAACGATACCCAGGAGCTAGCAAAATGAGTAAAAAAACAAACGTCTTTGGAAAGTTTCTTTGGGAAGGGGAAAAGGCCCAGCCAGGAGACAGAAGAGGAGCCGACGACTTTCAAGAAAAAGAAGGCTACATTTAATACACAGTATCAGGAGTCCTATTTAAAATACGGATTTATCTCAAACAGGATATTGCCACACATCAAGCTAGTTTGCATAATAAGCGGCGATCGTGAGTCGTATTTTTCATGCACTTTTTAATTGCCGTGTATCTTATTTTGAAGGCACGTTTAACCGTTATCATAGCAACCACCCAGTGTTGCGGCCAGATAGGATATGTCATGATTCGTGTTTATTATTATGTTTTAGACAATACCACAGTTTTCATGCAGGTCATATTATTTTGTTGAATTTATCTGGCCGTTGTACTTAACAGGCCGGCCCCTGAAAATGTCGTCTGACATGAAACCAATCCGTGGGGCAAATAAAGGTTGGGGACCGCTGCCCTTGGCCAGTAACCCTTAACTCAACCCTATCCCGAACCCTAAACCTCCAAACCTAACCCTAATCTGAAAAAAATGCTTCTCTCTTGTAACCTTAACCCATCAATGCCCCAAACCTGAAACCCTGGCCCTAACAGCAACCCACATACCTCCTAATCTTAAACATAACCCATAAACCTAATCCTAACATGCTAATGCTAAAGCTCTCAAATTTATAACCCGAAAACAAGTGTTCCACTTTTTAGAATGATCGATGTTTCAATTTATCGCCACAGTGATATATTAAGCAGAAGAGACATACGCACATATTTGTGTCCAAATATAATTTCCTATCCCAACAAAAGTATTGATGGATAGTTTTTTTTCTCATGGTCTGAATAAAGTGAGCGCATGGTGAGCATTGAATGCGTTTTGCTTCTTGCCAGCGGACAAGTCGTTTATGGATGTGGGGAAGTGTTTAATCTAATAGGCTGCCCCTTTTTTCTCAGCACGAATGTGATTGACGCTGCACCGTTAGCATCTGCGGCTGCTAATTGAATTCCCCTTCGCACCCGAGTCAGCGTTTCCCAGACCGCAGCGCTATAGCCCCCTGCGGGCATGGAGCAAAGTGCTTAGCTTAGCATGTTTAGAGTTCATTTCCCAGACACTGTGCCCAGTCTTGTGCCAGCCTGCCGGGCAGATGGCTGTAAAATAGAAAAATGGCAAGGTGCTTTAAAGCAGACCCTTTCTATTTCACTCATTTGGGATTTTCTTTTTGTATATGAATTGAAATATTGTATCCATCTCTAGTCATGGCATAGGGAATTTATTCCCTGTGTTGTGGTATGTTCAGGTGTGTATGATATCCCGGTGTGCAGTGTAGAGCAGCAGCAAATTGATGAGCGGCTCCACGTCCTTTGGCCAAAGGTTGCAAATATTGATCAGACACACTCTTCTTTCTCTCCCTGTCGTTAAAAAAGCCTTGCGCCAGGCCCCAGCCGCCATGGAAATACTTTTTCAAATTTCAAGCATCTATACTAAAAATTGAGGAAACTAGTATTTGAAATGAAAAAAAAAATGAACATGGAAAAATATTGTTTATTCATCATCACAACAAATAAAACAAAGCGGAAAAAAACAGTGTTGCTATAGGGTGCAATTCCCTCTTCCGACCAGCAGAGGACAGCATTCGCTGCCTTACAGGAGGCTTGCATTTTGAAAGCGAAGAAGAGCCACACGCCTTTCGAACTGATGGTCAACGTTCGGTTTTTGTTTGACAGATAAAACAAGATAAAAAGTAAGATAAAAAAACAAAGACAAGTGCAGAAGGAAAAGTTGTACTCTAATTGCCTGTTGTCAAACACGTTTCCGCCATGTTCACAGCTGATCCCCGTGATCCATCTGAAACCAAACGGCATCACAAATCACCTGTGTGGAGCTGTGCATGTCAACTGGGGATGATTATGACGCGTCATTCACTTGCAGCGAGCCTTCGCGCGAAAGAGACTTCGACTTCAGAACAGACAGGAAGTCAGTCTGTCCTCATTAGAAAAAAATTGACAGAATGCCTCCATCTGCAGGACCAGATAGAAGCCAATATCAATATTTCATAAGCGAAATGAAAGGGCAGAATCGATGGCGGTAGGCTCCTCTCGGCTCAGGAGGATCTTATTAGGCATCCATCCTGCTCTTGGACTGATCCAATTGGATCAAGAGCCTTCGAGGGATATGGCGAAGCGGACGAGTGGTCCTTAGAGCCCCCTGGTGGTGATCAACGTGAAATTGTTTCCAGTTTGGTGGAAAGGTGAGTACATGAAAGAATTTTGGCATAATAAGACGCAGGCAGCCTGGAAAGTAAAGTCAGTAAATTACCTTTTAAAGTAAAAAAAATAAAAGCATTAGTAAAATTACAATAAGAGTACGGTATCATAATAGTAGTAACAGTAATCAGTAATGTGGTTATTGTTGTGTAATCGTGCTACTACAATCTGTATACGTGTGTCGCTGTATGATCCGTACATTTAGTTTGAGGAGTCATCAATAATCTGAATACTTTTATGTAATTACATTACTGTGATCTGAATATGTGTATATCTACAGTATATAAATGTACTGTATATCCACCAATCCCTTCTTTTAACTGCACATATTGTATATTTAGTGGAAGGAGTAATCATGAATCTGATGGGTTTTGTTGTTTTTTTTAAATGAAATTACATTACTGTCATCTGGATATATTTATATATCTACAATACAGTATGTCTATAATCTGTGTAGTGTGTAATTTTATTACACGTGTATACAGTACGTCCATGGATATAATCTTTATAGCAGAAACAGTAATAAGTAATCAAATTACATTTCAAGCTGACGGTTGGCAATACAGTACCGGTCAATCATTACACACACACACACACACACACACACACACACACACACACACACACACACACACACACACACACACACACACGCACACTAGAAGAGCGTGAGAAACAGGAAGTGAAGGAGAGCCTCAGCAGTCCAAGACCTCCACTGGGATGATCTTCCCTCTTTCAGCCAATCAGATGCAGGCGCATATTTTGTCATCAGTGGGCCTGGGGGGCGAATTCCAAAAGCCGCCCCCCACCTCGTACTCCCCCGCCGAATCACATTCCAGCATGTTTTTGGTCTAAATATTTACAAGTTGCTTCTTTTTTGAGCTGACCAAGCACAAAGAAAAAAAAAACAAGAGAAATGGTCGAATTTTCCATCGGTCATTCCCAACATATGGCCACCCGCAAAAGACGTGTGCTGTAGCTACTTTCTCTTGTGATGCTGTAAAGATTAACGCTTCACCGCTCTCCTGCTGGATCGCCAGTTGATAACGGGCCATTAAGCAAATGAGGACCGTTGGCCAAGGGGAGCTATGCAAACACATTGGTTTGCCTGATGTTTTATTTCGGGCAAATGGAGTGCAGGTACAGGCACAAAACCGTGAAGTTGAACTATGACACGAGAAGTTGTATTACATTTTTTTTTCCAAAGAGCGAAGACATTATTTCTCACAAATGGTGATGTGTAAAATTATAAAGCAATTCAGATTTTTTGTTACTTTCTTCTCATCGTTTTATGATTGATTTCCAGCTGGACCTGAACACTCTTTTGTAATTGGATGAAAAGGGACATTATGCTGACTCGTGCGTGTATCTCAGCATCTCGTTTAAGTAAACGAAGACAGCGGGGGTGTCGCCAAGCAACATGCAAGGCCGATAAGGATAATTGGATTGTGTGCTGTGTTGTTGGAGCTCGGAGAAAGTCGAGTGAGCGCCGTGTAATCGATAGCGCTTCCCTCCCTCCCGTTTTTTTAATCTTCTTCCATTTCCTCTCCTGTCGCTTGGTATTGACCCGAAAGATTGACAGATAACCAAAGGCGACCTCTTTTTCCTGCTCGTCTTCCCTCTCGTCTCAGCCTCCGTTGACCCCTACGGGCCGAATGTGTCACTGCACGTCCTGCTCCGCGCGGGCCCGGAAACATCTGCGGGGACATCCTCCCTTTCGGCAAAAGGTTTCTGTCAAAATATTCATATCGCGTGACAGTACAGTGAACCCATTTATCGCGAGGGAAACATTCCACATCCCCAAAAATGGAAGAAGGAACGCAACCTGTGGCTTTAGCGCCGCAGGTGGTTTATTCGTCCATGTGCTGTGGCTGCCGATGTTAAAAAAAAAAAAAAAAAAGCTTGATTCGTTTTAAATTTGTTTATATTTTATTCAGGATGTTTTTTTTAATGTGACTCTAAATTGGAAGATGATGGTTATCTTTTAAGATTAAAATTTTTTTTGTGGGGCAGGAGGTGTTGGGGAGTCACTCAACATAGGAATCGTAACCAAAATGTGCTTTTTGTTCTGATTGTTAATGCAGTTATTCTCGGAAACGAAATATGATGCACCTGTCAGGGCTTTGTACTCATTTTTATTCTTACTGCAGCCACAAACCGGTTTGTCCAGTCCGCTATTCGCAATAGTAAAATAATATTTGTGTTTCAGAGCGGCATACTTATCTTGTGTGGCTTGTTTGCAACAGAGCGATTCCCGCAGGCATTATCCAAATGCGCTCATGACATTGGCACCTTGCACGTTTCAAATAAACGCAAGGACGGAAATAGTCCACTGAGGTAAAGAAAGGAGAAAAAAAAATGTCCTTAACAAAATCGACAAGGGTTAAGGTGAAAGGACTTTTCAACAATTCCAAATAGGAGTCACTGTCAGCAGAACACCTAAAGGCTTCTGCGAGAAAGCAAAAAGAAAAAAATATTCGTGAACAGCTTACTAAAACAGCTGCGTTTTATTTGTTGTACGTCAGACTCACTCACTGGTGGCAGGTGTGTGCCGACTCCCGTTTAACATGACTTTAAATGTGATTGGTTTCATCTGAACTCGCAGAACTCCCCAGTTTAAGAGGGTGTGCACACTTATGCAACCACATTACCTCACTTATTTTTACATCCTCTCTTGAAAGGATTACAAAAACAACCAACTGAGTTTATAAAAGATTTGCAAAATAGCTCTCAATTTTTTATATCATCAAACTGAACAGGGGTGTGTTGACTTTTTATAACCTTCGCATGAGTCATACAATGAACTCACCCAATATTTCATGATAACTGCCAGTAATGAACTTTATATCATCCTTTGAGTCGAGTGTGTTCTTCAGAATCATTTTTCGCAAATTCTTTCCCACTTGCAGTTGCTGACACTGGCCAGCGGGCGCGCTAGAGGGACGTTTGAGGAGAGTAGCACTTGGTGGCGTGTAGGAAATATGAGACGCCGGCCAAGGTCAAAGAGATAAAAGCCAGTCGATAGGAAGCCGTTCTTCACGTCACTTCAACACAGCAAACGGCCTTGACGGCAAGCGACTGCGTCGACTTGTTAGACAAAAAGAGGTTGACGGAAGGTTACGCTCAGCCCCTGTTTGTCGCCGGGGATGCCTTCCACATCCAACGGCAAAAGGGAAAAATCTGCAACACAGATGATATGAAAAACTTTTTTTTTTTTTTAAATAGATTTCATTACTAAAGCACAAATGAAATCATCTTCCCCCAATGGAATTAATGGAAATTCTCCAAGGACTCTATATTTTACTTAGTAAAAAGATTCAGTCAAGTCAGACTTGAATTAATTAATTAAAAAATATATATTTTTCCACATTCTTTGCTTCCCTTCAATGCACATTGTGCGACTCCATCTGGTGTGTGTGCCTTTGGCCACCAGGGGGAAGTATAATGCAGACATGTAGTTATAAGGCCACTTTGGGCCCTGGGATGGACCGTTTCTGGCTCGCAGGCCATATGTTTGACACCCCGTTTAAAATTTGGACTTGCCTGATGTCATGAAAAGCCCCAAAACAATCGCTTTAAAAATCACAGTGCCCCCCGCAAACGGCGTATTTCCCTGTAAATTTCTGTCACGCCTCCAACTTGTCATCATGCGTGACGTCACGTGTCTCCGCGCCGACTGTCACGGCGTGCTGGCCGAGACAAACGTGGCCCTTCATCCGGCCGCCGCGCTGTGACCAAGCGATTCTTCCGGCCACGAATCGCCTGCCGTCGCTAATTTATGCCTTTGGGGGCCGAGCGATGGCTGTTCTTTTGCGAACCGGGAAGTTCAAGTGCGGTGGGAGTGGGTGCGGTTGCCATGGCGACCGGGTCCCAGCCACAACAAGGCTGTTTTTGTCTTGGGGAGAACCGGCTCCAGTGGCCCCCCTTCTTCACCCACCCTTTCTCACTCTTTCTGACACACACACACACACACACACACACACACACACACACACACACACACACACACACACACACACACACACACACACACACACACATACTTTTTTTTTGTTTCAGTTTGTCCCATTCAGGGGTTGCCACACACTTGGTACAGATTACTGGGGAAAAAAAAAAAGTATACGTATCCTTTGTAACTTCTCACCACTGTTTTACTCCCACACATGCCGTGTGTTTCTCCCAACAAGTCCCTGCATGGGAGGAGTATTTACAGGATGTTATCTCTTTCTTTTCCAGCGTAGCTCACGGTCTATCTATCCATCCGGAATGCAGGGAAAGGATGGACAAGATACACCGAGGCTCTGAGAGAGAGAGAGAGGGAGGGGGGGGAAAGGGAGAGAGAGAAAAAATGCATAACGACATCCAGCAGAGGCTGGCGCTTGCATTCCCGGCTGGATTACTGAACAAGTTGGAGAGAGTCTGAAGGTGAGCCGATCTTTAATTTTCTCCAAAGTCCAATCAAAATTAAATTTTGGTTCAGACTAAAGAAAGCAGAATTGCAAATATTAAGCCTCTTGTTGCTTGGCCGGTGGATTTTGATCAAGTTGAAGATTTGAAGGTGAGCTTGGCTTTAATTCTTCTTCGGTTAAAAAAAAAAAAGAAAGAAATGAGAGTGGAAAGGAAAGAATTGAAGTTTAGGATTTTTAAGGTGAACTTGGATTTAATTTTAAAAAAATCAAAAATCCAAAAATGGAATATGGAAGAATTTAAGCTGTGTGTTGCCCTGCAAATGCACTTCGTCCTTTCAAGTTGAAGATTTGAATGTCACCTCTGTCAACAGGCTAATAGCTAACACATTTAGATTAAAAAAAAAAAAAAGCAAAAAAATGAAATAATAAGATTTCAAGCCCCATGTTGCTCTGGAGTTTGACCATTGAAGGATCATTTAAATTTGATTTTGGCTTCGATTCACTGTAAACTAAGACCACATTTTGGTAAAAAAAATAAAATAAAATAAGAATTGAAGGAATTTTTTAAAAATGAAAGTGAAAGAGTGAATTAAAGCCTTGCTTTGCTCTTCCAATGCATTTTGATCATTTGATTTGAGGATTTGAATGCCAGCTTAGCTTTAATGCTCAATAATATAATTGACACTTTAAAGCATATTGGGGTTAAAAAAAAAAGTATAAAAAACTAGTCTCTTAAGTCTCTAATTACCCTGCACGTGAATTGAGACCATTCAAGATGAGGACGTGATGGCTTCAGTTGTATATTAAGTCACTCTATTCATAATTTAACAGAACGTGAAATCAGATAAGAAAACCTTTATTTGTCTCACAAAGGAGAAATTTGCATATAGATCTAGAAATGGAAAGAATTAAAGCCTTTGGTTGCTCTTTGGGCCAGTGAAGTTGTCTGCGTGGTGCTTGCGTCACAAGTGACGTGCCGTCAAGTGGCCTGGAATGTTCGAGTCAAGCGCAAGACTCATCGATTGCTCTTGGTTCGAGTGGAAAGGGCGTTTTTTGTTGTTGTTGTTGAGAAATCGGGACACATTTTCGGGTGGTGCCCTGTAGGCCACGGGCCGCGTGGAGGGAGGCAGACCCATTTCTTCTGTTTGCGAGTTCCCTGCAAGCTGAAAAAAAAAGGGGGGGGGGTGCAACTCTGGGAGAAGGGCCTCGCCCTTAGCAAAAATTTCCACCTTAACAAGACCAAACTTTTGTGTGTGTGTGTGTGTGTGTGTGTGTGTGTGTGTGTGTGTGTGCGCCAAACTTTTGATGAAACAATTTCTCATTTTACGAGAACGTGTCAAACGATGTCTCAATGAACGTCGAGTAAAACGACACCGAGTGACCTCATCACTGCAGCAAGCGTGCGCATCGCAGTGGCGTTAATGAACCGTCCTGCCATGTTTGGGTCAGCAACAGGATCCAAAATGGGACCTGCCTCATCTTGAACCATCAAAAAAGATGAGAAGAAAAAGATGATATTGAGAAATCTAATGGCAACGGATACATTGGCCGTTTCTCTCCCCATTTTTGCCCCTTGTCTCACTGACTGTCAATATATTTAAGATACCATGTCACCGACAAAATATGTATTACACAAAAAAGACAATTGACAAAAAAAAATGGATCAAAAAGTGACTGACTCCTAATGGGTTGAAAGCAAAATCATTTGACTGCATAAAAATCATTTTGGAATATTTAGGGGTCAAAAAAGAAAAAAACTAGCCATTTTTTTTACACATTCACCATGAACTAATGCATGAAAATAACTTTTATTCCCCCCCAAAAAAGAGCCTTGTAATGTACTTTTTTTTTTCAATTTTCAACATTCAAATGGGAGCTCTCATTTGTCTTTTTGTCAAACAAAAACACAAACGCCAATGTACACTGCGTTGCGCGGGCGGGCGAGTGTGTGTGCATGCGTGCATGTGTGTGTGATTACAAGGTTGCACAAAAAGTGCGCTGCCGAAGGCTTTTCATTAGCCAGGATTGGGTGTGCCGTTTTCCAGGCCACTCCGGGGAGTTGAAGCGCAACTTAGATCATCTCCCCAGTGTCTTTTCTCCAGCCGACACGTCACTTTTATCGTGTCGGCGCAGTAAAATCCCCCACCTAGTTTCCTCCACTGTGAACACGTGTGTTTGTGCTGGCTCGGCACCACTGTTTGACCGGTCCAACCCAATGAGCCGTCCCAAAGACGACGTTATGTTGATGGTCTTCGTGTGTGTATGTGTGTGTGTTTGTGTGTGCGTGTACTTTCTGTCGTGACCGTGTGGCTGCGAGGGTGCGGCCTGACGCTGACATGCGCAGACGGGACCCGGAGTAGGTTCTGCGTGTCGAGACAAGGTACCGGGTCTTGGCGTTTGTACCTGCCGGTGGCTTTAATGAGCTTTTGAAAGAGGTCATGTCATGGAAAAGCAAGCGCATATTTTGGTGTCTGCAGTGACTGTCCGCCAATTAAGTGTGGAATTTCGCAACCGAGTAGATTTTTGCCGGTTGCCTCATGTCAGAAAGCGGCGAGCGCGTCTCGAAACTGGCTCCTCAGAATTCAAGACCGATTCTCTCCAGCTGAGACTTTTGGGCGACCTCAACAAAGATCCATGACGAAAATCTGAGCAGTGTCGTTGGATGCTCAAATTAGGAGCAAGAATTTGTCCAACGTTGCTTCTGATCCTCACGGTCAAGTTTGGGTGGTGAGCAGTGGCTCATTTGCGTGAAACGGGACCATTCTCCCAAACCATGTTGATTTCAGAACATCTGTTGAGAGAGACTGACTGATTGCCGATGTCAGACCAGATGAACATATCCCGATTTTTGATCCGACAGACGCGTCGCAGACAACCGTTGTGTGTCGTAGCCGATTTTGAATTGTCTTGACGCACCGTAGCCCACAACATGTGACAAACTCAAGGATTGGCCTTCTGGTGTCTGGGATGCTTCACAACCAGAAATTTTCTTCATCTTGCCGCGTAGTGTGACATGTCCTACGTTGTCCTTCGATTGGTTCTTCGGCACTGACCAATAGGAAGACAGTGACGAGAGACTGGACGCGGCGCGGCACAAACAACCAACGACGATTGGGCAGAGTCTTGTAGTGTGACGTCTCACCAGGTCCAAGACAGAGAATGATATTTATCTGGTAGTCCGACAGCGTGACTGTTGTGAAGGACAAAAAAAGTTTTGTTGGCTATAAAACATCCTGGGACCAACTTTGGTAGTCTTCCATCTTGCTCTGTTTCGACTCTGCTTCCAAATACTCGTTTTGGCTTTGCAGGGTCTCATTTGCATGTCACTAAACCAGACACCTGGCAACTGTTTAGAGTTTGTGGACCAAACGGAATCAAAAACGTCCTTTAAGGGTCTCCCTCTCGATCTCTTTCCAGGAACGTCTCCGGCTGCGGCGGAATTCATTTTGTCGCCGTTCGTTTGCGGCCGTAAAATCGCGCAACCATGAACAGCGTGGCAAACTGGCTGGTGGACAACAAGGACAAGATCGAGAAAGGGGTGGACATCATTGGGCAGGCCTCCGAGGTCCTGGCCGCCACCGTGGGCCAGTTGCACCCGATCCTGGAGGCGGTGTTCATGGCCTCGGCCGAGATCCTCAGCAACCCGGAGGGCAAGGAGGCCGTCTATTTGAGCCAGAAGATCGAACAGGTTAACCAGAAGCTGGTGGGGATCCAGACCGAGATCGACCAAATCGCCCTGGAGTTGCAGCGGGCATCGATGAACAAGCAGAACGTTGACCGCGAGGCTCACATCCTGGGCCAGTACGAGAAGTTCCAGGAGTTCATCAACACCAAGCCGAGCATGAAAGAGAAGAAGAAGGACAAGTTCATCAAGTATTACGAGAACACCGAGGCCGACCTGAACCTGGAGGCCCTCTACAACGCCGTCACGGGGGAGAACACGGCGGGCGACCCCATGCTGGACACGGTGGTCACCACGGAGCAGAGGAGCCGGAGGGCGGTGGAGGACTTCTGCGCTCGGCTCAAGAAGCTCTTTGTGGTCGGCCTCATCGCCGTCATGGGCTACGCCGCCCTCAAAGAAGGTGTGGT